ATAGGGAACAGCAACTTAGACATTGGCTACCTAAAATGAGGGGGCAATAAAGGCACGAAGTGACTGGCTTACAAGGTTTCAAGAGGGAGTTTAGTTTAGGAGTATGGGGGGGAAAGAAAGAGTCCCCACTGAATAGATTTCTTCTTGTCTAGATGAGTGAAAAGAGATGGGGATAAGATTCAATAGTGAATAATTGTTATCATGACTAATTGCTACTGTCACAATTGTAAAGGTAAAGGTTTTGTAACAGAAACAGGGAGTGGTTAATCTTACAGTCCAGTAACAGAGGACCCTAGGACCATCAAGGGAGAAGAGCACATGCAGAATGTGGGACCTTATCCAGAGAAGCAGCGATGCCAGAGACAGAGGCAGAGATGAGGGCATGGAGAGGGGCAGTGGCTGAGGACTCTAGATTCATGGACTAAGAAGCGAGGGACTAAGAGCGGGTGGCCAGGAGCAGACTTGCAGAATGTGCCCTTTGGAGATATAAATTATTATATATGCCTGAGTGTTTTGTTTTTGTTTTTTTAAAAAAAACTAAAATGAATAGACAGAAATACTGTTAACTGATGGTACATGGCGGGGATTACAATCATTGTAAAGAGAGAAGGTATATGATATGTTGAATATAAAACTGATGATCTGCCCTGTAAACTTTTACTCAATTCACAATAAAAACCTTAAAAAAAAAAAAAAAAGTTTATGGAAGATTGGAATTAAAACACAATGGAATTCTTTTTGAAGCCCCCTCGTATACTATCAGCCATTAAAAATAATATTTAAGAAGAGTGTTTTATGCTATGCGGAAGTGATTTTGATGTATAGTTAATTCTCTTAGAAAGCATTAGAGTAAATGCCACTATAAACATACAGCATTGCCTCTGTTAAACAGAACATGTTTTCTTTTAGTAAACATTTTGTGCTTTTCTAGAATGTTCTTAATTTTCTGCAGTATTTAATTTTGTCCAATTACTAGTGTATTTTAAATGAATAAGACAAATGAGGAGCACAAACTTTTAAAGCACTCTTGCTTTTTAAATGATACATTCCTCTCACACTTAGCATACTGACAGACTACAACACACACGTAGGAAAACTGACAGTTTGATGGCATTAATAATTTAATACGTAGAGCTCTTAAAATTCCTTAAATATTTTAGAAAAAATACTAATGTCAATGATTTACCCACACCAAAGAAGAATATAGTACAAAAAAAAAAAAGTCTCAAAAATTTGTATTCATCATTTCTCTACTTGCCTTTAAGTTTTCAACTTTTTCTTCAAACGACTTGAAAGTTGGAGAATTTCTGTTGAGAAAAAATAAAAACAGTAAAATTATTGAAAAAAAAACTAAGCAATTTTGAAATGCCATTAGTTTAATATATGATCCTTTTCACCAATTATTAGAAGAATAGCAATATTTGAGGTCAATTATTCTCAGTCAGCAAAAGAACAGATATACGGTATTTTAATGCAAATAATGCACTATAATATTGGTGGTTTTTTGCTAACCATGTCCTATTTTCATAATCACAACATGCTAGTTTTTTTCAGCAACACAGAAAAGCAAATAGCATACTGTGCTTACAAAAATACCAGAAATGGTGGTCACACCTGGTCAATAAAACATAGCCTGCATGTTGTTTTCATAAAGATATGTTACTTATTTTATTAACATATTGAGATACAAATGTCAAGATAAGCTTAAACCACTTAAAGAAAATTTGGGACAACAAAAGATTTCATCTGACAAAGATTTAAAGCTCCCATCTAATAACATATATGTGCAGGTACACATACAAACCAGAACTACTATTACTTAAGAGTACCAATATCTGTTTTAACACTTATATAAATTTCACTTTTGATTCAAAGCTAGTCTTAGACATAAGAGATAGTCACACATGTGAGGAAAAGGAACAAAATCAGGTAAAATATCAATTGTATCATTTCTGCAACCAAAACTGTCACCATCAGATTAATTTTATTTTGGTTAAGGTACTATGCTCTAGAACTTGTGGTTAAATATATGTGCTTCCCGACAGGATTCCTACAAGAGTCCTCAGCACCTGTCCTGAAAAAGTCGACTGATAAGGTTTCATTAACATGCAACCCTATTTTCAGGGAGCATTATAATAAAGAGAGACACCAATACCAAAGCCACTGCCACCATCCAGTGAATTCTGACTCAGAAAAACCCTAGAGGAGAACCTAGAATTGGTAATGGAAGCAAGCAGCCTCATCTTTCTCCCTCTGAGCGGCTGGAGAGTGTGAGCCTCTAAAGCACCACCAGAGCTCTTAATAAAGGACAAGAGATCAAAAGAAGACACAACACAGGAACATGACTTAAAGCCCTCAGACAGCCTCTCCCAAGAATGGTCACATTACTTTTGTCTCCCAAATGCAGCATTCCAAAGCTTTCTTTGTAGCCACCAAACTTTTAATTTCCTGTGTAGTAGTTACGAATCAAGCTGCAAACCATAAGGTCAGCAGTTTGGAACTGCCAGCCGCTCAGTGGGAGAAAGATGAGGCTTTCTGCTCCCGTAAAGATTTACAGCCTCGGAAACCCTGTAAGGGTCTCTAAGGGTCAGAACCAACTCGATGGCACTTAACAACAACACTAAGATGGAAAAGACAAAGAAGGGCACAAGGCGACCTTTCTACAGCGGTGCTGAGCTAAACAGTTCAAGGCAACGCTGCCCAGAATCACCACACCTTTCTGGAGCTTGTTAGATTTGGTGTCTCAGGTCCCAGTTCAGACCCACAGAATCAGAAACCCTAGGGTGAGACCTTGCAAGCAGGCTTTACCATGTGCACCAGTAATCCTGATGTAATGCTTAAGCCAAGCAAATGTAATGCTTAAGCCAAGCAAAGATTGATAAAAATGTTCTACGCCTCTCTAGAGAGGTCAGGTGAGGTAAAAATGTTCCACTTGTCACGGCTTCCTGATGAAAGAGGTAAAAAGTAAAGTGGAGTTGGCTTCAAATGGTATACTGTTGTTTTCATTGCCACTGAGTCAATTCTGACTCCTAGTGACCCCTATATAGGGTTTCCAAGGATCAGCTGGTGGGTTTGAACCGCTGACCTTGTGGTTAGCAGTCCAGTGCTTATCCTACAGCACCGCATCAGGACTCCAATGTTATATTAGGATAAAAGAAACAAAAAGAAGAGGGTGCAAGAAAATTGTTTAATTAAAGCTAATGGAGACACAGGTGGGGAAGCAGCAGTATGTCTTGTTACTTCAGTAGTGTCTACTTTTTTCAATTAAACGGATTTCTGACATGAAGGAATTTAACAGTTTTACAAAATACAATAGCACTAACAATTCATTTTAAATACACACACACACACACACCATGTATCTCTCTTGCACCCATCTCAACTTTATAAAGAGAGCAACTGAAAACAGAGAGAGTGTTGAACACACAGTTTGTTTAAAACAGAACGCTAGTCAATATGAAAACTTTAAGACCAATTACGTTGTGTAAAAATATACTTTACCTCATAGCAGGCATGCTAATTGAATGCTGAATGGAGCGTATGCTAAGAGGCAGCATTAAAAGAGATAGAAATGAAGTTAGCACAATAGTGAGTAGACGTGACAAAAGGAAAAACAAAATTTAACTTTAGAGCAGCAGTTTCAGTCTCTGGACATCATGAAAATTATCTACTTTATGAGGTGAAAGGGGGTCAGTTACTCGACATATCTTATTCATGACCTAATTTCAATATAACCCCAGTAATTGTGATAGCTAATAATACAAGCTTGCATTTGATAGCACCTTGGAAACTGGAAATTGCTTTTTTGCCTACACTTGTAAGGCATACAGGATCAAGATGCAGAGACTACATGAGTAATCCAAGGTCATAAAACTAGCAAGAAGCAGAATCAATCAAGTATGGAATCTTGGGTCTCCAGAACTCAATGCCCATCATCTCCCCTCAAAAATGAAGCACACACACTTATATGCACACACGTAAACACATTTGTACACACACATACCGTGTGCACACACTTGAGTAAGGTCAGTGAAGGGGTCCAGCAATCATCATTCTTCCAGATATTTGTTCCCAGGTCAAAATAGGAAGGTTTCACAGTAAATTACTTATTTGGCCATTTTAAATGATTTAAAGGTCATATAGCACTCCTTAGTAGTAGTATCCGTTTTCTAATAAGAGACACTTACTATATTCAATCCCAATTAAACGGAATGTTCTTAAAAGCCATTCAAAGAAAGCATCTTGCTTTACAAGGACCAACTTTTCAGTGTATTTTATATTTTACAACTAAAATTTTTAAAAAAAAATATATACCAACTTTGAAAAGAATGAAATAAAAAAATATGGAAAAATACAAAGTCAAGGTCTCCCTGCTTTTGAGGTGGGTAATTCAGTAAGAAGAGCATGGGACACATATAGTGGTAAGTCCATCGATAATTTGAGCCTCTCTACAGTCCATATTTAGGAGCTCTGGTAGCGTAGTGGTTACGAATCGGACTACAAACCGCAAGGTCAGCAGTTCGAAACTAACAACTGCTCTGCAGCAGAAAGATGAGGCTTTCTGCTCCCGTAAAGATTTACAGCCTCGGAAACCCTGTACAGAGTCACAATGGGTTGGAACCAACTCAGCGGCACATAACAACAACAGTCCATATTTAGATAAATTCAATTTTATTGGTGGTTATCCAGTAATCTAAAGAGAACAGCTGCTCTTTCAATTCTGGCTTCTGTATGGAAGGTCACACAAAGCTTCAACTTTCCTCAGCTTATATATCATCTCCAATTTAATTCAAACTTAAACGTAATATGGAAAATTTAAAAAGCAGAAAGCCATATTGCTGCTGTACCAGAACCATCTCTAACAGATATGTTTTAAGAAACAGTTACCACCTATAAAATCATTTTTGTGAAACTTCTTTCCAACTTGATTTCAAACCTTCATATCTAGAAATAAGGTAAGAATGTAATTCTGAAAGCACAGCTGCAAAAAATCAGGAGGGCAACCTGATTCTCACTTAGATCAGCTTTCAACCTCACATGTATAGATACTCTTATTTGAAAAAGTTATACATTTAAAAAGTTAAATTGATCATTAAAATTTTCTTTCCCTCATTTCTTACACAGTCATTTGATCTTCACATTCCTAAAAACTATAAAGGAGCGGGAGGGTAAAAAAGGACGTATGAGGAGTAGTAGGGGGAGGAAGAATTATTAATGGCCACCATGGAGCTAATGCTTCTCCTGTGCCAGGTATGTTTAGAAGAGTTTTCAACGTATTCTTTCATCTAACCCTCACAACAATTGCTTAAAGTGTAAGTGATGAATCAAAGTCAAAATGATTAGGATACCTTTAACTGAAATACATTAACACCTATTTCATACGAAGCTATATTCTCTCAACACTTTCAAATTTAACCAGTTATTTTGGTTGTTAACAAGTCCATCTCTACAGTCTAGAACAGTGCTTGGTACACTTGGCACTCAACAAATAAAATGAAAGCAGGAATGTATACCACTTTGTTATGGAAAACAGGGGCATGAAATGTAGGAAAGTTTGATAAAGCTTTTTAAGTTCTAGTCAAAAGGTACTCCCCAGCTGGCAAGAGAAGAGAGATTATTTCTTTTTCCATTGAGTGGTGGATATTTTCAGCAAAAAGGAATCATTTGCAGATATTAAAATATGTCTCAGATTAAAATATTTTTCCTAAAAAAAAGAGTCTGGAATTGTTGTTGTTAGGTGCCATCCAGTCAGTACCGGCTCATAGTGACCTTATGCACAGCAGAATGAAACACTGCCCAATCCTTGGCCAACCTCACTATTGTTGCCATGCTTGAGCTCACTGATGCTGCCACTTGGCCAATCCATCTCGTTGGGGGTCTTCCTCTTTTTCTCTG